GTGAAAACAAGGAACAAGACAGGAGTCTACCACAGAGGGCCTCTGGAAGACTCTACTCAGCAGGGTACTGAAGTGGATGCTGAGTGAGGCTCATAGCTAAACTTTGGGCAGAGTGCTGGGAATCTTATGAAAGAAGGAGGAGATAGAAAGACCTGGAAGGGTCTGGAGCTCTATAAGGAGAGCAACAGAACTAAAAAATCTGGGCCTAGGGGTCTTTTCTGAGACTGATACTCCAACCAAGGACCATTCATGGAGATAACCTAGAACCCCTGCACAGATATAGCCCATGGCAGCTCAGTGTCCAAGTGGGTTTCTGAGTTAGGGGAACAGGGACTGTCTCTGATATGAACTCAGTGGCTGGCTCTTTGATCACCTCCCCCTGATGGGGGAGAGCAGCCTTACCAGTCCTCAGAGGAAGACTATGAAAGACAATACTGATGAGACCTGACAGGCTAGGATCAGATGGAAGTGGAGGAGGACCTCCCCTATCAGTGGATTTGGGAAGGGGCATGGGAGGAGATGAGGGAGAGAGGGAAGGAGGGAGGGTAGGATTGGGAAGGGGTGAGGGAGGGGGCTACAGCTGGGATACAAAGTGAATAAGTTGTAATAAATAAAAAAAATTAGATTAAAAAAAGTTAAAATGTCAGAGTCTGAGATATTGAGGAAGATGAATAAAAGGGCTGATAGCTTGGTCTACAAAGTGAGTGCAGAACAGAGAAACACTGTCTAGAAAAAAACAAAAGCAGAAGGAGGAAGGGGGGAGGAGGAGGAGGAGGAGGAGGAGGAGGAGGAAACAACAGCAACAGTAGCTTCTGGCTGGGAGACCACCCCAGAACACTGTACAAACAAGGAGCTAAATATGAGGTAATTAAGAAAGACTGCATCTATATCTAAGTGGTAGAGTTAATGCTCTACCATGGTAAAGCTACAAGTTGATCATGATCCTAGGCTCATGTTTAGCTAACTTTCTTATACGGACTAAGACCGCCCTCTTGCCCAGAGAATGGTGCTGCCTGCAGTGGGCAGGGCCCCTCCCATATCAGCGGCACTCTTTGGGCAACTGGTCCTGGGCTGTATAGAAATGTGAGTTAATCGTGAGCCTGTGAGCAAGCCAGCAAGCAGCATTCTTCCGTGATTTCTCCTCTGATTTCTGTTTGAGTTCCTGCCCTGACATCTCTCAATGATGAATAGTAACTTGGAAGCATACGCCAAGTAAATCCTTTCCTCTCTTAATTTACTTTTGGTGATGGTATTTGTCACAGCAACAGAATGAAACTACAACATCTAGTAGACAGTCAAGGTCAAAGCTGGAGTCAGAGACTGATAGAGAGGGGCTTCAACTACCCCTGACAAAGCAGGCAGTGCACAAACAGCAAATGATTGACTCCCTGGTTGGGCCAAAGCAGCAGGGATAGAGCATGCGGGCCCTGTCTTGGCTCAGCTCACGAGAGCCCAGAGAATTAACCGATCTCAGGGGAGATTTTCTTAGTGTCTGCCACTGTCCTATAGAAATTCTAGAAAGGGGGGAATTCAACAGATTTCCCCCACTCTTGTAAGCCTCTCCTAATTCTCAGGAGTCGCTCTTGCTTTTCCTCGGTTACTCACTCTCCTGTCATAATTGAGAATAAAGCCTGCCTCTGTCTTTGTATATCCTCACGAGTGTCTATGTCATTATATGTCATTATATTCTTTAACATGTGGCAATGGACTTCGAGCTACTGTCCCAGGTCAATCTCTGATGACTGCATGTGGGTGGCATCTTAGGTCCATGGGTCATGCATAGCTGTGCTGTGAAAGGTCCCATCGCATTAAAAATCCCTGTAAAGGAGGAGTTTTATATTGTGGAGTCAAGCTGGTTCATCATCAGAGCACGGGTGACAGACAAGGGCTTCTTACCCCTCAATGCCCCGTTCCCTTTCCCTGGGGAGAAGCAGTTTCACAGATGGGAAGGGTCTTTCTCAGTGAGACTCTCTGGTCCTACAGCTGTTGGCCTATAGGTTCAGTGGAGGTGGAAGGTAAGGGGGGGGCTTGATAAGGTGTCAACAAGGGCCGTGTGGGTAACAAGACTCACTTCTGTATTCACATTCCAACCTCCGGCTTGCTGAAGCGGGGAGGGAAAGGGCATGTCTGGGATGTCTGAAGTGAAGGTACATGCGATATCAGTGCGTGTCAGGGTTTGGCTGGTTCCTCCAGAGGGGTCCCAGGCTCTGTGTCGCAGAATGAAAATTCAGCAGAGACATGGAGACAGAAGCGGAAGCAGGGTTGGTTTATTAGACTCAGCAGTTAAGATTAGGAGCACTCACTGCTCTTCCGGAGGACTGGAGTTGGGTTCTGGGCACCCATGCCAGGCATCTCCTAACCATCTGTGACCCCAGCTCTTAGGGAATCAGATGCCCCTGGCCTCCTCAGGCAGCTGTGCTCACATGCACATACACATAAGCAGACACATCCACCTACACAGAACTAAAAATGAGGATATATATATATATATATATATATATATATATATATATATATATTTTTTTTTTTTTTTAAAGAAGAAAGACTCTTTTGAGGGAGGAAGCTGGAGCAGGAGAAAGTTTAGAAGCACAAATGGCAAATGCTGGACCGGGATGGAGCTTTTGTGTTATAAAGGGGAAGCTTTGGAGTGTCTTTGTACATCTTCAGACACTCTGTGCCTCATGCTCTGGGCATTTCTAGCAGGCCTCCTCTTGGCTATGAGTGTGTGTGTATGTGTGTGTGAGTTGTGGGGAGCAGGGTAGCTCCGGGGTTGGAGATTTTGTTCACCATCAGGCTTTTCCTCTCATGCTAGTCTTTTTTTCAGTTAATTAATTTATTTCTCTTTTTAAAAATAATTATGTTTCATTTACGTACTTTGGAGTTTTGACTGCATGTATGTGTGTGTGAGGGTGTCGGATCCCCATGGAACGGGAGTTACAGACAGGTGTGAGCTGCCAGGTGGGTGCTGGGAATTGAACCTGAGTCTTCCGGAAGAAGCAGTCAGTGCTCTTAACCACTGAGCCATCTCTCCAAGGCCCCCTAAAGCTAATTTTGCATCATTTGTGTCAGGCCTTTGGACCTCACTGGCAGTGCTACCTTCCTGTTCTACTTTTGTGGCCCTGGTGGTTACGAAGACTGTGTCTACCACTCTCACTTAAACCTAGGGATAAGGACTTTATCTGGGATGGGGTATGCTTCCTTCACCTAGGTTACTTCCGCCTAGCCCATCCCCATTAGTTCCTTCCTGTGGTGGTTTGAATAAGTATTATCCCCACAGACTCAGTGTGCGTGAAGGCCTGGTCCACAGGGTGTGCCACTATTAGGCTTCTCTAGCACCACGTCTACCTGCATGCCACCAAGCATCCCGCCATGATAATGGACTAAGCCGCTGAAACTGGAAGCCAGCTCCCATGAAATATTTTCCTTTATTTACTTATCTATCTATTTATTTATTTATTTATTTATTTACTTATTTATTTATCTATTTATTTATTTATTTGTTTGTTTGTTGTGAGCCTAGCCTTTAATGGTTGAGCCATCTCTCCAGCCCAAACGCTCGCCTTTACGAGAATTGCTGTGGTCATGGTGTCTCTTCACACCAACAGAAGCCCCACTAAGACAATTCGTATCAGAGGTTAGACCAGTACAGTCCTATTTTGGCTCTCCAGGTCCAAATGTATGAAAACAATAATTCCCCAGGGTCCAGTGGCCTGGATGAATTCACACCCAGAGCCCTTATTATGGGAAGGGAATAATTTAGCCTGAATACCTGGGACTGACAAAGGAGCAGCAGCCAACCTCCATTCCCCACTCCAGCCTGGAGGAACCGCTGGGACCAGGACAGCTGAACTGTAGCTGAGGGCCCAGAGAAACCGATCTGTGCTGCCTCTACAGGAACCTCACAAGCAGAAGAATCTCCCATATTCACTTCCTTTGGTGTGGGGGCAGGGCGCCTGAGTTTTTGCCTTCCTAACCAGCTCCCAGGAACTGCTGCTGACACTGGCTCCGCGGCAGTCCACAAAGCAAACAGAGCAAGCAGCAAGAGCTTACACCCAGGCCTGGTGGGAGCACTGAAGCCTCAGCTAGATTCTGAACGCGACGCCAGACTTCACGGCGTTAGGAAGGGCCTCTGCTACCTTCTGCTTGGGGATCATCCACCTCTCCAAAGAGCTGAACTCGGCAGTCTGCCATTTGGGCAAAACACGGTTATGTTCAACTGCCCGCTCCCTGCTCCAGCCCTCCAAGTTACATAATGTGGCGCGGTTGAAAAGACCCGTAATACCATTTGGTAGCAGGAAGCCGATTTCTGACTGCTTATGGCTGCTGGGTGGAGCTAGGGCTGGGGTCAGGGAACTGGGCAGAATGTGGGAAGGGTTTAAAGAAAGCAAGGGGGCTGGCAGATGGAGAGAGCAGGAAGGCTCCAATGGCCAAGGCTTGGGGATAAAAGTGATTGGTGTGTCAGCAAAATCTGTCATTGGCTTTGGCGATTCGAAAGGCAGACACGTTCTCTCATCTCTGCTAATCCTCATCTGATACAGAGTATTTCCCAGCCACTTTATCTCGAGGAAGAAAAATAAGCGGTCAAACCTACGCTGCTCTTCGCTTTCCCCCTTCCCGGGTGCCCCCCCCCCCCGCCCCCCGCTCCAGTCTTTATTTCTTATTGCACCATTTTGGAGATGGAGGGGCTGGGGTCGCTGTGGGCGGCCTCCCAGCATGGTAAGCAGCCTTTGGGGATGGGCCATGAAGGGGTCTCTGCCGAGGCTTTCCACCACCTATTTTTCTTGCTGGGTCCTGAGTGATACCTAACTTGCTGTGTAAATGGATGGACGCTGTGAAATTGGGGCCGAGCACAACACCTGGGGGAGGAATGAATGCGAAGGAGGGGAAGGGGAAATGGCTGGGCATAGCTGAGCAAGCATGGTGGTGCAGGCAGGATTCCCAAGGGACCCCTCTTGGGTATCCTGCCACCTGCTGACCTGCCCTTTCTCTCCTTAGGTAGGGATCCTACAGCTGAGTGGCTCTAAGGAAGGCCAAGGGATGCTGATCCTGCTTCTTCATGGTGAGTCCTGCTTCCAGCGGTGCTGGGATGAGAAGGGAGGCAGGGGTCACCAGGCTTCTGTCTAAAGAGTAGGGGTTCCAAGTGGCTTCGGTCACGGTTCTATGTGGATACTCTTTCTGATGAGATTTCCCTGCTGTGTGAGTGTGGGGAAGGACTAGAAAATGAGAAAGCAGTAGATGGGGGTTGCTTTTTCCTCCCTTAATTTGTTTATAAACAGGACTCCTGAGCCAAATACGAAATAAGGTTCTTTAAAAAAAAATCCAATATTTTTATATATCCTTATGTTTTGGTTGTGACTTTCTTAGTGTTTAGAACCCCAAACCAGTGATTTTCCGGACACACTATTTTAAATTCTTTTTGTTGTTGTTGACTCTGTTCTGAGACAGAGTCTCTCTGTGTAGCCTTGGCTGTCCTGGACTCATTTTGTAGACCAGGCTGACCTCGAACTCACAGAGATCCGTCTGCCTCTGCCTTCTTGAGTGCTGGGATTAAAGGTGTGTGCCTCCATACCCAGCTCACTGTTTGAAACTTAAGGTGGGCTTTGTAGTTCAAGCCTTTAGTCTCAGAATTTCCTTTTCAGCACTTAGGAGGCAGAGGCAGGTGGATCTCTGTGAGTTTGAGGTCAGCCTGGTCTACATATTGAGATCCAGGGCTACATAGTGAGTCTAAACCTCCAAAAAAAGTTTCATATTTTGAACTCATTTAGTGAAAAACAAAAATCCCTTGGGAAACACCATTTTCCTAAGGAGGAGGGGGAGACAATGGAACTGTGGCATTTACATGTTTAAATATTTTTAACTTTTCCAACTTTATGTGTATGCGTGTTGAACCAGGGTTTCCTATAGTGTAGGCTAGCCTCAAACTTGTTCTGCGGCCAAGGCTTGCCTTGAATTTGTGGTACTCCTCTTGCCTCAGTCTGCCAAGTGCTGGGATTACAAGTGTGTGCCATCATATTCTTCCTCCTTCCCCCAGTCAGTATACCAAAGACAGGGCTGGGCCTGTGGCCTAATGGTAGAATGAGTGCTTAGCATGAATCACCCCCAGCACTGCCCAAAACAAACACAGCTGTCCCCAAAGCCTAGAAATACTTGTCACATCAGTGGCTCACATTTCAGCCCAGTCGGGGGAGGGGAGAATTTCCTTTTCGGTTCTTCAGTAAACGATTCTACACAAAGAAGCTGTTTTTCTGTTTCTTGCGGCGGCGGGGGGGGGGTGTTATTGTTTGAAGTTATGGTGATCTATGCAATGATCTTTGTATATGGTCCATATTGCAGAATATTTTTCAGGTGATTCTAAGATACTAGTGATAGTATTTTGTGCTCCCATTTTCTGTATGTCACTGTGATAAAACACTCTGACCAAAAGCAACTAAGGGAAAGAAAGGATTTCTGCAGTTCAGAGTTCTTGGTCATGGTATATACTGAGAAAAGTCAAGGCAAGCTCAAGGCAGGAACTTGAAGGGAGGCTGCTCGCTCTTCACTATTCGATACAGCATTATTTTTCACCTGGGAACTCGCTTCATAGCCAAAGAAGTACAGCAGGAAGCGTGGGAGATGCTGCTTGCTGGCTTGCTGGCTGTATTATTTCTTATACAGCTAGATTTCTTCTGCAGCCCAGGGCCACCTGCCTAGGCATGGCGCTGCCTAGAGTAGGCTGTGCTTTCCTGCCATCAACAAACAATTAAGACAAACCTCAGACATCACCACGGGCTAATGTGATCTAGGAATTTCTCCTAGTGAGCCCCCTTCTAAGGTGAGTCTGGGCTGTGTCAGGTTAACTGTGAAAGCTAACTGGAACACTCTATAGGCTGTCTTTTTTTTCAAAGACAGAAATGATGTCTTCCATCAGACAACAGATAGTGCACCTTCCTTGTGTGGATCGGATGCTCTAAGGGTGCACAACTCAAATGGAATTGAGATTTCTCAAAGGCCTCTGCCTTTGAGAAATCTCAATTCCTTAATGGAGAGTCAATCAATAAGAGGACAAAACCTATTGGGAGGGGACGAGGGAGGGAGCTACAGGGGGGGATACAAAGTGCATAAACTGTAATTAATAAAAATAAAAAAAGTAGACAAAACCAAAAGCAAAACTCCTCAGCGGGGCATAGGGCACAGCATGATAAATAGGCTAGGACTTCCTACTCAAGGAGCCGCCAACGGACAGAGGTTGACATTTATATAATCACCAGCAGCCAGCACCTTGTGCCATTTCCCCTCCTTAGGAAGGAGAAGATTGAGTCATGGGGACAGAATGTTTGTCTCCAAGAGCCAGCCAGCATTATTTTCAATGCACACCCCAAGCTCGACTGCCACTCGCAGGGTCCAGACCGAATTCAGAGCCTGCGCGCTGCTGCAGAACGGAGCCATCTCCGCCGCAGACTCCCCCCCCCCCCCCCGCCCCAAAGACATCCAGACTGCTTGTGACAGTTTGGCAAGCTCAGCGGTGACATCATTTACTAACAATAGACACTCAGAATTAATGAGCAGCTCACATCCCCTAGCGCTTTCATTTAAAACACGCTCCAGCAGCACGGAGACTATTTCTCTGATGACGAGTCACAAGCAATGGGAACAACATGTTCCCAAGAAGCAGGCGGGGACAGCGATCTGTCTCCTGGCCGGGGGGGGGGGGGGGGGGGGGGACACGACTGGAAGAATCAGAAGTGGCCCAGAGCAGCGGAAATGTGAGGTGAGACTGAATGAAGCAGAAACTGTCCCCCCCCCCCCCCGCCGGGGGGGGGGACGGGCTGGAAGTCCCTTCTCACAGATGGATAAGTACTGACAACCCCCACACCCCACATCCCCCCCCCGTGTTACCAGTCTCCCAACTCCCCGTTGTTTAGAGCATCATATTTTAATTCCAGAACTCGTTTTCTAGAGTCTTCCACAATACCCTGTTTGCTCTACACCGAGGCTTTAGAGCGACCAGGGTTGTGTTTTGTCCACTTCTCGGTCTTAGAATCTAAGAGGTGGTAGGTGCCTAATAATGGTTTGTTGACTGAAGGGCATGGAGCAGCCCCAGTAGACTCTTCCTCTCTCGGATGCCCTAATTCCTACTAGTTATTAGGTCTCTGTGTAGGATAAGGATTGCATTTAAAAGAAGACTATAGGAAAGTAAAATCACAAGACGCTGGTCTTAGACCTACAGCAGTGGCCGAAATATGAAGGCTGATAAACATCAAGCCTTAGAGAGAATGTAAAACGACTGGAATGCTCATGTACCTTTGGCAGGAATATCAAATGGCGCAACCATTTTGCAGAACAGTTTTGTGGAAAGGTAAACATATTTATACGGCCTAAGCAATCCTACCTCCAAGATAAATGAGAAATGAAAACACATGTCTGTAAACACACACACACACACACACACACACACACACACACACACACACACA